GTGCAAACGTAAGGACCCAATAATCGTCCCAAATATGCGTTGAAGTGCCATTCCCAATCAATGAGCATAAGCCCTACCTCAATAAATTTTGAGAAGACCAAATACTACGCCACCCCAAGGAAGGATTAGAGCCCAAAGAAGCATCCAAAAAGGACGAGTCCGGAAAATACTTAGCCTTAAAAATCTGATACAACAAACCTTGCTTCAGAACCTGAAAATGCCAAGCATGCTTCGCTAAAAGCACTAAATTAAAAGCCTCCAAATCACGAAAGCCAAGGCCACCCGACTTCTTGCTCCGGCAAAGAAAATCCCAATTAAGCCAATGAATTGCCCGATTTTTATCTTTATTACACTACCAAAAGGAACAAATATGTTTCATCAAATCTTGACGCAATGTAGTGGGAAGCTTAAAAGAAGACATAACATACGTAGGTAAAACACTTAAAATGGCCTTAATTAATACTTCTTTCCCACCCGTGGACAAAGACTTCGCCTTCCAAAAAGATAACCTGTCCTAAATTTTAATCAGTAAAAACTGAAACACATCTCTTTTGGAATGACCCAAAATAGCGGGAACACCAAGATACCGACCATGCATCCCCTGCATTTGCAAACCCAAGGATCGGCTAATAGAACGACATACTAAACCTGGGGCATTAGTTAATTTAGTTGAGAAAAAAATAGAAGATTTAGAAAAATTGACTTGTTGCCCAGAAGCCCTTTCATAATCTGCCAAAATTTGTTTCAGAAGAAGAACTTCCTCCGGAACTGCAGCACAAAACATAATAGAATCATCAGCAAAAAAAAGATGAAAAATAGACGGAGCACCCCGACAAATACGAATACCAAATAATAACTGAGCTTGTTGAGCTCGCAAATGAGAAAGAGCTTCAGCACAGATAATAAATCAATACGGCGATAGAGGATCGCCCTATCTCAAACCTTTAGACGGTTTGAAAAAACCCACCGAACTCCCATTAATCTTTAAAGAGTAAGAAACAGTAGAGATGCAAGATGTGATCATTTGAATCCAAAAAGCATTCAACCCCAAACGAGACAGTATGTGCAATAAAAAATCACACTCAATCCGATCATAAGCATTACTCATGTTAAGTTTCAACGCCAACCATGCATTATTACCCTTACGATTATTTTTGAGATAATGCAAAATTTCATGAGTAATTAAAATATTATCCGTAATATGACGACCTGCAATAAATGCACTTTGAGAATCACTGATAAGGGAGCTAATAATCCCTCTCAACCGGTTACTCATAATTTTTGCAATAATCCGACAAAACACATTACACAAAGAAATAGGTCGGTAATGACTAACCTGTGTCGGAGAGGAATTCTTTGGAATTAAAACAATATTTGTATGATTAAAACTGGATAACAGATTGCCCGTAGCAAAAAAAACTAGATACAGCATCAACAATATCCTTTTTAAGTACCTCCCAATATTTCTGATAAAATAGCGGTTTCATCCTATCCGGCCCAGGAGCTTTTATCTCGGCAGAAATTCGGACAGGAACATACCGCAAGAACTGCTCAATATGCGTAGGATGGGAAGAGTGAAACAAACTCTAAAAATAAGTCAAAAAAATTGACTAAACGGATACCTCATCAGTTACCCACTGATTCCCGGCATCATAAACTCCTGAAATTGTATTGCGGCCTCGCCTTCGTTTAGCAGAAACATGAAAAAATTTTGTATTACGATCCCCTTCTTGCAACCAAAGAAGATGGGTTTTCTGCTTCCAAAACAACTCCTCCTCTAATCAATAAAAAATTAAGTAATTTTCTAATTTAACCACCTCCGCATGACAGTAATTTGAAGTGCGAGCTTTCAACTCATGGAACCGAGCAACTATTAAGACGAGCTCGTGAGTTAAGATTGCGGAGCTTAGCCCAATAAATAAGATCGGCTTTACAGTGACGCAATTTCTGAGCCCATTGAAATTGATAAGAACCAGCAATCGGAGTAGACCAATCCAAATCAACAATTTGCCTACAATCGTCCAACAATGTCCATCGAGCATCAAAGTGAAATTGCCGTTTCCGAGGCCAAACCACAGGCAAAATTTGAAGAAGTAAGGCATAGTGATCAGATCCCACCAAAGAAAGATGAGATAATTGAGCCCGAGGAAAAGCCGATAGCCAATCCATAGTCGCCAAAGCGCGATCCAATCGTTCCTGTATATTAGCTAACCCATCGCGCTGATTAGACCAGGTCAAAGAAAAACCCACATAACCAATATCCAACAAAGTACAACAATCAAGCAGAGTACGAAAGGAACGAAGCTGCCACCCTTGCTTAACTTCCCCCCCATGTTTCTCAGAACTATGTAAAATATTATTAAAATCACCAATGAGGACCCACCTACCCGACCAATAACGTGCACTGTTAATAAAATATTTCCATTGCACAGCTCTTTTCCTATCCACAGTATTAGCATATAGTTGGGAAAAATACCAAGGTGACTATTTAGGGGATAGAACAACAACAGTAATAGAAAAACTGTTTTTATCGACCACCCTTCACTGAACATTATCATTCCACCAAAGGCCAAGACCACCCGCAAGCCCAACAGGCTCCACCAAACAACCATGAGGAAAACCCAACATTTTTTGAACAAGCACTGTCCGCTTCCAATTTTTTGTTTCAATAACACCAAAAATATTGGGGGAATATTGAGATTGTAAACGTTTAATTTGCTGAATCGTAGAAACAGACCCCAGACCTTGACAATTCCAAGCAATAATATTGGGAAAATCATTATGGCAATCAGAGAAACAGAAAGGTGGAGCTGCAGAATGGGATGGAAAAGAACAAGCAGAAGCAAGCAACCAATTGGAACAAGCATCAGATTGATGCCTGAAAAGTGAACCCCGGCCGAATGTCATTACTCTTGGCCCAACACTGAAGATAGCAGAGAACAGAATTCCGGCCTTGCAAATGGACTGGAAGCCAACAACAAAATATAATGCAGAACCTGTAAGGCCCAACGGACAGAAGCCCAATCCACCAAGCAACCGGCCCACAAACAAAATAGATGGGCCACAACGCACCACGTAGCCACACTTGCAACCATAGAAGCAGCACCACCAACCCACCAACGCCGGAACTGAAAGCAACGATGGAACTACCAGCGTTGGAACCACAACCAATCACAAGTAGAACAAACAACCAACCAAACCCCCAATGCAATCAACAGCACCCAAATCGTCCCCAAATAACGCAGAACACTGATCAAAGCCGCGTAACAACAAAAAGTGCCAAGCCCAACACCAAGAATCAACAAGAATTACCGGAAAGTAAAGCACCGAACATAGAGCAAAAGAAGCAATCATTTCCACCCCAAGCCCAACGGGACGAGGTACAACAGCAATCAAGAACCCAACAAGCACACAACCCACAAAATAACAGGACACCGGAAGCTCCCCAATCCTGAAAAAACAGGAAACCTCTACACAGAGAGGATGTCTAGATAGAAGATTTGCTTTAAGGTGGACTGAAGGCATCTAAGTAGCTAGCAATCTTCTGCATACTTTATTTATTTTCTATTAATTGGAAACAGTTACGCTATAAAACTGCTTTTTGTGTACCCTTTGGACAGTATGAATGGACAGTAATGCCCTTTGGTTTAAAAAATGCCCCTTCAGAATTTCAACATATTTTGAATGACATTTTTAATCCTTATACTGAATTTTCTATTGTTTATATTGATGATATTTTAATATTTTCAAAATCAATAGAACAACATTATAAACATTTGAAAATCTTCAAAGATGTTATTTACCAAAGAGGTTTAGTAGTGTCTGTTCCTAAACTAAAAAATTTCCTCACCCAAGTAAGATTTCTTGGTCATGAAATTTACGATGGAAAAATAAAACCCATTGACAGAAGTATTGAGTTTACCTCTAAATTCCCTGATGAAATTAAGGACAAAACTCAACTGCAAAGATTTCTTGGTAGCTTGAATTATATTCGTAACCATTACAAGAACCTTGCACAGGATACAGCAATTTTATATACACGGCTCAGGAAGTCACCTTCCCCTTGGACTGAAGAACATACGAGAGCCGTCCAGAAGATTAAACTTTGTGCTAAACAGATTCCTTACTTAGCCCTAGCAAATTCTTCATGGTTTAAAATTGTTGAGACAGATGCATCCAATATTGGATATGGTGGTATTCTTAAACAAACGAATCCAGATACAGGAACAGAGGAGCTTGTTCGCTTCACTTCAGGAGCTTGGAAAAATGCACAATTAAATTATTCCACTATTAAGAAAGAAATTCTTTCTTTAGTTAAATGCATTTATAAATTCCAAGATGATTTAATCAATCAGAAATTCTTGTTACGCATTGATTGTAGTGCTGCTAAACAAGTACTGGAAAAAGATATAAAAAAATAAGTTTCCAAACAGATATTTGCTGGTTGGCAAGCTGATTTATCTGCTTTTGATTTTTCAATTGAATATATTAAAGGCAGTTCTAATTCTTTACCTAATTTCTTAACACGTGAATTTTTACAGGGTTCATGAATCAGCCCCATCATGGACAAGGCCGTGGTAATACCACAAAAGGCCGTGGCAAAGGCAGGGCAAAAGCCGAAGTGGTTATACCACTCACTGATGATCAGTATCCAGCTTTAGAGCATCTCTCTGATTTGCTTCGGACTCCTACTCAAGGAGAAAGCTCACAGAAGAAAACCATGAAAGAGGTTCTCATAACATAAACCCCTTGGATACCTAATTCAAGGTATCTTCAAACCGTTAGTTCTATTTCTACCTAAGAAGTCTTGAAGTATTGTTTTAATTTAAACAATATAAATGAATATAAATAATTAAACATGCCAAATTTTAAATTGAAAAATATCAATCATAGAAGAATTCTAAACATCAAACTTAATGAGTATGTATATAAAATATTACATTTAAGAAAAATAAATAAATAAAGGATGCACATTAAGCAATATAGATTATAGGGCTAGTTTATGGGACCGGTTGAAACCAACGATAATATACAGCTTGTTGCATATGATTTTGAGATGGATGTAATGGCTTTATGTTGTGTGTTGCCAAATCATACACTCCGAAATCTTTCATTCTTGTATTTGTATCTTCAATGAAATAGATTGAATTGGGTGTATATTCAGGATTATATCTAACTGAAACGAATTTCGAATCATTAGTAGTCAAGAATAGAGCTCGATGACCCAAATTACTCACCTCTTCCCATTTACCATTACCCCAATTTAACTTAAAAATCTCAAACGACTTGGTTTTGGTTCTGCATATATGATGTTCATAAATCCTCACAACCATCAACAATTCACCAGACCACGACCCCTCCACCAAGTACCTGTATTGGTTGACATTACAAGTACCATTGCATACCTCTTCCTCCTTGTAATTAGAATAAGATTTATCCAACAAGAAACGTCGGAGCACACCAAGCTCATCAATCGAGTAGAAGTTACCATGGTAAAATATGACGGAAACCCATTCATGATGATTACTAGCGAAAACAGGCGTCCATTTCCTGCCACCAAGTTTATAAACAGCAATCTAATTCGGGGTATATAAGTAGACCATGCAAGTTGGATCAGTTGGAATGGATGATATGATGAATCTAAGCACATATGGATTAGTGACCATTTTTAATTCCGTTGGCGGTGGAAGATGGACAACCATTCTTGAAAGAGGATTGAAGAGATATAGTGAACTCTCATAATAAGGATACAATAGTAGCCATCCACGACAGGGAGCAATACATCTAGTCCTTTTGGGAACTGCACCACCACCACCACCATTGCCGGAATCAGCCTCCTCCTCGATGCCTTCGTCGTCTGCCATCCAGTGCTTCTCCATGGACTTTACCAAATCGGGAGAAGTCCTATTGAATATCACACCATCCTTGTACGACAACCTCTTCATGTTGGGTGAACGGAGCCTATACTTGGTGGTGGTGTTTTTACCAAGACACAAGAGTTTGGCGGGAGAATTGCATAGGTCAAGCCTATTGTAGAGGAGTAGTAACGGAGTAGTAGAAGTAACGCCGAGTGATAGCACGTTCAGTACAGAAGATCGCCATGAATGACATACACCGCGACATCGTAGAAGATCGAAGGTTGTGGTGACATGTGCCATGATCAACTCCACCAGTTCTTGTGGAAGGTCGGACCAAGGGACTACTGGATTAATATTATTAGCCATGTCCATGCGGGGTGCTCAATCCTACCAGCCGAGGAATATCGTACAAAAGAAGAAAATTAAGATGAGCAAATTAACAAAAAAAAATAGTAAATTATGGTTTCAAGTCCATGAAGAAATCAACCCTAGTTATAGAGAGCAATATTTGGAAATCCTAATTCCTCTTCTTTTCTTTCCCTTTTTTTTCCATAATCCGGATAGAATTCCACTTTCTACGTATTTTAGTTTAATAATTGTTTGTTAATAAGCGACCTTTTGGAATTTAATGTCCTTTATTGACACGTCTACCCTTATTAAACTTTTTTTTTTTTTTTTTTTCTCTCCTCCCTCTCCTCCTACAATGCCCCCAGCTGTGTTTTACCAAGGCACTCCAAACTGAAAAAAAAAAAAAAAAAAAAAAACCCTCTCTTCAGCACTCTTCATTTTTACCAGTGTGTCAGTGTTCACAAGCTATATGTTCTATTCTATTAAGATGGCATAGAATTTTGGCACTTGAATTTACTTTTGATTAACCAAGTTTAAGAAACATTCAAATAAAAAAGGATTTTAAGATATTATCAATCCCTTATTCAAGGAAGCAGCAAAGTTAAAAAAGAATGACAAGGGTAGGAAATTGGTGCTTTTGTTCCATTCACAAATATAACTTTTGAAGCTAAAAACCGCTCTTGAAACAAAATCTACAGGGAAAGATGATTGTTTCCAATTTCACTTCCTTGAAGTTTAAAAAATATAACCAATTTTTCACGGATCAATTGATTACTCGTACCATTTAGTTATTGTATCCTATCATTCCAGTATTGCTGCAAACTCCAATTTGTTACAAACCATTGATGACTTGTTACCAAATAGCTATTGTATTCTATGCATTGATGCCAACTCCATCATAACACTGATCTCTCAACAAGCCCAAGAGAATTCCTTCATTGGTTGAATCATTGATTATTTTACGAAATCAAAGGATTAAAAAGTTATTCTCTTGGGCTTGTTGAGAGATCTGTGTTATGGATGGAGTTGGCAGCAATGCATAGAATACAATAGTTAAAGACGGACATTTTTTGTGGGACGGAGGGATTATATATGATTGGTATTCATACATCACAAACATTAGTCACACGAGTCAAGACATATATGCTTATAGGAGTAAGGGACCACAGCATCGGTAGCCATTACACGAGACTAAAACTGAACAAAACTAACGCATCAAATGTTGTAGTTAAAACTTCGTACTTTCGAGAATTACATCATCGGTGAGGGAGAGACTCTTACCGTTATCCCAAAGGGATGGACAAGCTGCTCGCCGAGCCCATAGTGCTTGGGATTTGCCGTCGTCTTTCACCCAGCCACCGCCACGCCCACCAGACCACCAAATTGAACCACTCCGATAGCTGGTTCGCCTTTTGCAGAGGCTTGTTATCACCGGAATTGACCTAATCGCCTCAACTGACTTGAGGCGATTTAGAAGATACTAAAATTAAATTAAATATAAATATAAATATAAAGAAAAGTAAAGATAAAAATAAAAATAAAGTGCAAACTAAAGAAAACAAATCTGCTCTAAGCTGAAAAAACTAGTGCACAATGATATTGGGATTTTTTTTATTTTTTTAACAGTGTTGGTAAGAAAATAAAATAAAAAATAAAGAAAAAAAAAATTAATAGAAAACACTAAACTAAACAATCAAAAAATTCAAATCCTTATTCTGTAAATTCTTAAAGTTTTTTTTTTTAAAAAAGTTTAGAAATATATATAGAGAAAAAAGTTTCAAATATATATATATATATATATAAGGTAATGTGCACATAACACCCATATATGAGAGTAGTTGCATATACTTTCTTGGGCATTTTCGAAAGAACAAAAGAACAAAACGAGCATTACAACACTAATTTATGTCAGATTTTTTATTGAGGGGTATTTTTGCACAATTTGAAAACATAAGGGTAAAATTAATATGCAGAGTATACTTTGGGGATATTTCCTGCACTTCGCCCGTGTGATATATGTGTGTATAAACATATGCATATATGTACCTCGTGCAAGGTCAGATGATCCGAGGATGCAATCGAAGATCTAGAAGTATAATAGTTTCCGTCAATGTAATGTAGAAATCAGTAGACTTTACTACAAATTCTCCACTACTCTCTTTCTAATGTGTTAGATTTTACTACAAATTTTTATTAATACTGACTCACAATTTTGGTCTTATAGTGCAATAGATTTAAATAGATAATGTAATAATTTTAAATGGACAAGACAATGCTCATATACAAACATTGGTTTTATAATCATTTTTTTTTTAATATATATTATATATATATATATATATTTTTTTTCCCTGGCAAAGACATACAAGACAACAAAAACCAAAACAACACAAAAACAACTAACACTTCACATCCGCCTCAGCAAAACGCACAATGAAATGAAGAAGAGACAGCAAAAACTGATCCGATCCAAGCCCAGGACGTGAAAGAGTAGCTAAAGCATGAGCCACCTTATTACCTTGGCGACGAACATAAGTCAGAGTAGTAGAAGAAAATCACTAAAGATCTCGATTGATATCAAAACAAATAGAAGCAATTTTCGCTGGGCAAGACTCACCACACAACACCCCATCCATAGCAGCTTTGGCATCCGATTCAAACCATAAGCAAGAGAAACCTAATTCAAAAGCACAAAGGGGAGCACGTTGACATGCCATAGATTCCGCCTGCAAGGAGGAAGAAGCGAAAAACGGACAAAAAATAACTGCTTGAAGAACATCAACTTTGAAATCACGGAAACCCAACAATGACTTCCGACAAAATGAAGCATTAAAATTACATTTGACAATACCAGATGGGGGAGGACACCAAGAATCCACTGAAGTGATTGAGGGCCCTGGCTGTAAGGAGGAGCAGAGAAACCGAGCATCTTTGAATTCCCAAAAACTGATTACTGCTTTTTGAGCCACAATCTCCGGTCTCCACAAGATCCCTTCAAAGACTAACCGATTCCTTGCTTTCCAAATGCCCCAAACACAAAAAGAAATCAAACTAGGTACATCCTCAAAGTCCGAAGAGATCATAGCCCGACGCAGCAGAAAACTCCAGCCCATCCGTAAAGAAAAGAAAGAACGACCTGAAAAATCCAAATGCAGCGAAGAAAACTTCCAGACCTGAAGGGAATGATCACAACGAGGAAAAATAGGCGAGACAGTACACCTGCGAGCCAACAAAGCAACCCGAATTGGCAAAGCATGACGATAACATCTCTAAAGAAAGTGTTGCACCTTAGATAGAGTACGACACCGCCAAATAGAGGACCAAGCACTAGAATGAAATGGAATCCCAGAAAAATGAGACATTGAAACAGCCAATTTATAAGCAGACCGCACTGAAAATTTACCCGACAGCTTCGGAGCCCAAATGACTACATGTGGTTTATCCCAACGACTTATGTGAATTTTAAGAATTTCCTGCATCATAAAGGGAGGAAATAATTGAGACAAAACATCCACTTTCCATGAAGACGTATCAGAATCAATCAACTCCGTCGCATAAGAGTATGGAACAAGAGCCTGAGTTGGGGAAAATTTCCGTGCAAACGGAAGGACCCAATAATCGTCCCAAATATGCGTTGAAGTGCCATTCCCAATCAATGAGCATAAGCCCTACCTCAATAAATTTTGAGAAGACCAAATACTACGCCAGCCCAAGGAAGGATTAGAGCCCAAAGAAGCATCCAAAAAGGACGAGTCCGGAAAATACTTAGCCTTAAAAATCTGATACAACAAACCTTGCTTTTAAACCAGAAAATGCCAAGCATGCTTCGCTAAAAGCACTAAATTAAAAGCCTCCAAATCACGAAAGCCAAGGCCACCCGACTTCTTGCTCCGACAAAGAAAATCCCAATTAAGCCAATGAATTGCTCGATTTTTATCTTTATTACACTACCAAAAGGAACAAATATGTTTCATCAAATCTTGACGCAATGTAGTGGGAAGCTTAAAAGAAGACATAACATACGTAGGTAAAACACTTAAAATGGCCTTAATTAATACTTCATTCCCACCCGTGGACAAAGACTTCGCCTTCCAAAAAGATAACCTGTCCTAAATTTTAATCAGTAAAAACTGAAACACATCTCTTTTGGAATGACCCAAAATAGTGGGAACACCAAGATACCGACCATGCATCCCCTGCATTTGCAAACCCAAGGATCGGCTAATAGAACGACATACTAAACCTGGGGCATTAGTTAATTTAGTTGAGAAAAAAATAGAAGATTTAGAAAAATTGACTTGTTGCCCAGAAGCCCTTTCATAATCTGCCAAAATTTGTTTCTGAAGAAGATCTTCCTCCGTAACCGCAGCACAAAACACAATAGAATCATCAGCAATAAAAAGATGAAAAATAGACGGAGCACCCCGACAAATACGAATACCAAATAATAACTGAGCTTGTTGAGCTCGCAAATGAGAAAGAGCTTCAGCACAGATAATAAATCAATACGGCGATAGAGGATCGCCCTATCTCAAACCCTTAGACAGTTTGAAAAAACCCACCGAACTCCAATTAATCTTTAAAGAGTAAGAAACAGTAGAGATGCAGGATGTGATCATTTGAATCCAATAAGCATTCAACCCCAGACGAGACAGTATGTGCAATAAAAAATCACACTCAATCCGATCATAAGCATTACTCATGTTAAGTTTCAACGCCAACCATGCATTATTACCCTTTCGCTTATTTTTGAGATAATGCAAAATTTCATGAGTAATTAAAATATTATGCGTAATATGACGACCTGCAATAAATGCACTTTGAGAATCACTGATAAGGGAGCTAATAATCCCTCTTAACCGGTTAGTCATAATTTTTGTAATAATCCGACAAAACACATTACACAAAGAAATAGGTCGGTAATGACTAACCTGTGTCGGAGAGGAATTCTTTGGAATTAAAACAATATTTGTATGATTAAAACTGGATAACAGATTGCCCGTAGCAAAAAAAACTAG